GTTTTATTCAAAAGAATTTCACGATATGAATGAGGATTTCTTGAGAATCCCTCCAAAATGTGTAGCAAATGAGACACTAGTAGTGTCCACCGTATACCTTCACTGAAAAAATACCGACCAACTGTCTATAGAAAACCGTTCTTCGGCAGTTTTTCCGCTAAATTTGCGTCAAAGAGTTGACTCGTCCAATTTGTTAAACTGATCCAACTGAAAACTCTGGCTGATAACTCAGCCTTCCTCAGTTGTATAAACTGATCCAACTGAGGAGGGCTGAGTTTTCAGCCGAAACGTTTTGGTAGTAATTTACGTGAAAATTAGCATTGTTACCCGCAGTGTAATTTGTTTTATTATTGTAATGAAATAAAGATCGCGAGAACTAAGACACCATGAGATTTCATTCTAAAATTCCTTATTCCTTCAGCTTCACCTTATTTTTGTATCAGAAAGGTCCATATTAAAACTTCAAACCCAAATTATTTCTCCATAATTTAATCCAAGAATTTTCTCATCGCGCTGAATTTTATCAGCCAAATGCTCTAGTTTCATTTAGATATAGTCTATCAGTACGGGACTTGTATCAGTAAGGGTATCAGTACTTTTGAAGTTTTGTAGTATTCCAAATCTACGTATGTCCTACTTAGAGAGTTCCTCTAAGTACAAAATATTAATCATTTACAGCTAATTTTGACAACAGAGTGTCAACTTGACTTCTCGTAGTGTCGCCTGTTCTGATTTTTAGGTGTGACATCTTTATGACCCTTCGCGTCCCGTTCTGCGTTTCGGAAGTTCCCTCTGCTCCTTGTCGGGGACTACGTCGCCTCTTTGACGTAAGGATGTATCTCTATATTCACATGAGCCCCGGAAAGCATATAGTTATACGGAGAAAAAGGCTCACGTGCAGATAAGGTTACGTCATTACGTCAAATCAGAGGGGCGACAACTAGAGGTCATGTTTACATTCTCCCGGTTTTTTTGGTTTTGTTTTTTTCAAAACTCCTTATGAAAACAAACTATGAGTGAAACTGGAATTCATAAAATAAAATTATGGATTAGTCCGACAGCCTTTTTCCATTTGCGGACAAACGTTTCAGAGGTTTCGATGGTGATGGTGCATAGTTGTATTCATAACCCGCCCTCCTAAGTAGCAGTGGGTGTAATTTATGGTTTGTTTTACCAAATTTTTGTGTGCGGTGTTAGCACCCAGGATTCGCTCCGTGTCCCTGAAAAAAATGAGAGGCTGAGATAAAAGGAACATGAGACATCCTTGAACAGGTGCGGGAAAGGGGAAATGCGACAGTTCAGTGGAGTTACGCAATTGCTACATTGAAGCAAGGCAGGCATTGAGAGCGGCGGGCCGATTATTGACATTGATAGACAAAGTAATAGACAAAAAAAACAAAAAGGATATGGAGAAATCCTATCGGTGGAGTTGGGTAGTTGCAATGGACAAAGGACGTAGGTAATAGACTAAGTAACGGCAACCCGCACGAGGGACCCGATAGTTAGTCCATCATTTACCCCTTTAGTCTATAAGAACCACCCATTTCAACCAATAGGATCGCTCTATACTCCTTATGTCTTCTTCCTCTAAAGCTTTGTCTATAAAGTTCAATAATCGACCCGCAGGTTTTTTGTTTCATTATCTTGTATATGATAACGATAACCGAGATTTCAAGACATTCCTCGAAAAAATTTCGGCTGTTGATCTTTTTAAAATAAGGGTGTACTAAAACTATAGTTATCCCCAAATTATCAGGATGACGAGGATGTAACTTCGCAACTAAGTATTTTGGTTTGTGGCGCGGATTTCCTATCATACTTCCTTTCTTAAATGGAAAACTACGCAACGATGGTCCTTGAAACTATCCTTTTTCCCTCGAAGAAAATTCTCCGAAAACTTCAAGGAATAATCTCGACTTGTTCTTCTTTAAAAAAATGAAATGGGAGCGGAGATTTTCAAACACTGCAAACGGGATACGTGTTTGCGGATTTACACCGTTGATGAGCTTTTAGAGAGTATAATTTCACGAGGTATAGTTATGTCAAATGTAGTGAAAAGATACCGCTTTATAGACTTTTTATGTGAGAATAATATTTCAACGTGCATCGAAATGTATGGCAACGGTAAAACTATCAGACCACGTATCTTGGTTTCCGACGTTGTAGACTTCCTGTCATACATTATCTTTTAAATGAAAAACTACTCAACGTCAATTTTTAAAAAAATCTCGTGTTTTTCCTCACTTTGAGAAGAAAGCTCTGAGAAGTTTTCAAGAAATGATATTAATTTGTTCTCCTTCAAAAAATAAAATGGGAGGTTTTTAAACACCGCAAACGAGATACGTGGTCTGCCGATTTCACCGTCAATAGGTATTTTCCATCTAATAAGGGAGACTACTTTTTAATAAGAACGCAGTTATATTCTTGAATCTAAAGTGATGATACCCATTGAAGGAAGGAAAAATCACCATGCAAGATGCAAATTTAATTATCGTTACTTCAAAATGTTTCTTCACAGCATAAAATAAAACTACTTAAAAAATAAAAGCATTCGCGAACAGCTCAATTACAACAAAACCATTTGTTCTTCCCAATTCGAAGTCATCAAAAGACCATCAATCACTTTTAACACAATCTTCTCGGGCCACCTAGAGGCGACCACGCCTTTTCACTTTGACAAATGCCTCTGACCTTCAAGTTGTGGGTCGCGACCTCCACAGACGCCTTTTTTGCACAAAAGAAGAAGAAGAAAAAAGAGGAAGTGTGCACCAGTTGGTCGTCTCGCAAAAATCCTGAGCAAGGGCGATGAAGTCTGCAATATTTTGACACGAGGTCTGAGCTCCACCACGATGTTTCAATTATTTTTGCAAAAAAACATGTTTAAAAAATGAGGGTGAAGATTTAGGGCGGTGCCTCGTGTGGGGTGTTGAGGGCATGCGATTCAAGACAATGATGCGTAGGATGAATGAAATTTGAGTCGCGCTAATCATTGAGAGACAAACTGAGGGGGTTTGAGTATGCCAACAGTTGGAGTTTCGTAAAAACTACACCATTTCATTGTTTGGTTATGCAGTTTGGAATAATTATTAAAAAAACCTAAATTTTTCTTAACATTGACGAGGTGTGAATGATCGATCATCGATATTTCTCCATTTGATACTATGGTAAGGAACTGATTATTAAGGTGTCCATTGCGAACACCGTGTTTATCGATCCTTTTCTATAGGTTTAAGTGGCAAAGCACGCAACGCCAATGGATATGAGGGACCATTTGAAAACAGGGCGCATGTGCATCTAGCGCTGCTAAAAATGTGCAATTTCACTGTCCTTTTACTTCAATAAAAATTTACTTAATCTGGCAAAGAATATTCAGTGAAAAGGTACCTCATGATATTAAAATGTTTTAGAAGGCGAACACATAAAATTACAAGCTTCTAATTCGTCGCCCCATCTGACGTAAGGGCATATCTCGATTTCCACATGAGCCCTAGGAAGCATGGATTTATATGTGAAACAAGGCCCACGTGAAAATTGAGATACGCCTTAAAGTCAAAGGGCCGACGAATTGATCCTCTTTTCATTGAAATTCGTCCAAATTTTCAGTGTATAGATTTTTGACGTTAAGGTTGATCTTCTGCATCTGTACATTGGGAACTGCACCGAAATTGAACAATCAGTTGAATATTGATGAATTTTAAAACGGTCCTTCAAAATTGAACCGCTGGACGCAGATAAGGAATTTCTTGATTGCGGTGTCTTAGAATATCCGTTAAAGTTTCAATTACTATGATTAAAGCAAATTTATGGAATTTGTTGAAACTTTTGCTGAATTTTCTTCATGATTTAATAATGCTGGAAACGAAAAATTTCAGAAGTTCTGAAATGACGCAACCGAGAAGTACCCTTCCTGCACCCAACGCCTCAATTTCCGAGTAGGATCACATCACGCTGAAGTATTTGCGCACATTTTGACCGAGAAACTATATAAGTAGCTTCAAAAGAAGGTCCCGAATGAATATCACAAAAGAAAGGCAATACTTCTTGTGATGTGCACTCGGTATGTACCTACTTTTGGAGTTATTTCAATGTGTTTCTAGGTCGAATTTTGTGTACCTAACGGCTGACATAGTATAGCGTAATGTGGTGCCTGGAATTTCTTAAGTAATGCTCTAAAATTCAGCCACTATCAATCGGTGGATCGACCCTGGAATCGTTCTCCACAGTAGTGAGGAACCATTACAACGGTTTTCCCACGGATTAGTTCCCGGTCGGGATTTTGCCTGCGGGGTTTTATCCGGGAATCAACTCGTTACAGACGGCAGAGCTTACATCAGCATCTTTTGGACTTATTAAGATCTGCAATTGGGAAACCCCAGAGACACGGAGACTTAACGATTCGTCTGCCTTTCCGAGCAAAAACCACTTTCCTGCAATGGGTTACCGATGGACTTACGCCGTTTCGCAATAGCGAGGCAGAGTTATGAGACTCAACAGATCCGCCATAACTCTTCCCAGTTCGCACAATTGGACGCATTTCTGTCAAACGGAACTGTGTGCATTAAGACATGAGCCTTGAGACCCATAAGAATATATGTATTACAGGGCTCACATCACAATGCACATAGTTTCGTTTGATAGAAACACGTCCAATTCACATTAGAAGCAGCGGACAAAAAATTGGCGCAATTTCTCTCGGCGTCTGTTCGGTGAAACCGGGAGCTTTTTCTAAAACGAGATTATCTATCAAGGCGCTTGTTTAAAACGTATTTATCTTAAGTTGATTACGGAGCAGGGAGCGCTGCCAGATCGGGCCGGTAAAAGGACGCCGTCCCCGCTTGGTTCCGATGGGAGATGCGCGGTTTATTGTTTATTCTCTCCGGACATCTGGGACGCACGTCGAGGGCTATAAAAACCCGCCGTTCCCGAGTGGGCCTCCCTCAGGGAGGGCGGAGTCAAGGGCGGGGCCCTGGGGGCTCTGAGGAGCTGCAGCTTATGAAATTGAGACGGGGTATGATTCAGTTAATTAGGGCACTCCACTTTGTTTTCCTTCGCCCCCGCTCAGCTACGATCAGCACCTGATTGCTCCCGCTGATTTCGCGCCTGATCGAGCTCTGCAATCGCCTTTTTTCGCCCGAAGTCTTTATCATTTCCAGCTTGTTTTTCTCCGGTGATTAGTGTTTTCCCCATTGTTTGAAATACTTTTTTCTTCGTTTTAAATTAATTTAAATTTAGTGCCGGACTTTTTCATCATTCCGCATTGACTTTTTTCCAGATCAACTTTGCCGTTTTTTTCCTTTCCCGCCTGTGAATTGATTAAACCTGTGAAAATACCGAGTTTTTCCGCGATTCCGAATCCAATATTGTCGATCGCCTTTCCCTTTCATTCGTCTCGAAGTTCGAAAGTTTTCAAGATCGGTGCGTGCCAAAATCTCTTTCGCAACTTCTTATGATATTGTGTTGGCTCCAGCGTATCCACGAATTGTTATCAGTTTAATTTTCTCCGAGATTGGCGCATATTTCGTCGAATTTCGATATCTTATTTCCCTCGGTCAGTTTTAGTATACATGACGTCAAAACTGGTGCGTATGTTAAACTTTCCTCGCCGTTTCGCGCTAAATTGATTTTGACTTTGACTTTCTTGAATGTTTCCATTCTCTTGGTGTTTCCTTTGTGTTTGTGATTAATTTTTTCAAAGTATAATAGTCGAAAAACTTTGCGTTTTGTGCCTACTCTACATTCCGCCAGCGATGAATCAAGTTATGAGTTACAACAGTTACAACCCGATCATCAACCCGATGAGTAACACGTACAGTCCACCCGTCACCCCTACTCGCCCTTGTGACCTCTCGTACTTCCCAACTGGACCCAGATCTGATTTCGGCATATCCTTCGGTAAGATATTTTTCAACACCCTCGCTTCCCTCTTTTCTCTCAGTTCAAAAGTTTCCTACTTCATAACTCGACGCAATGAAAGCACTTAAAATTAGAGGCTTGGAGGACAAGGCGCATAAGTGCAGTTTTAGCTATTTCGAGACATACGTGTTTGAAGTTTCGGAATTAAAGGATCCTTATGGCGGAAAGAATGTTCAAAGTGACTGGTGCTTGAAAATTGGAACTTGAGAGCGAATTTTTCACAGAATACGCAATAAGACAAGTTTTACTTGAAATCATTACTATCTCAATTTTTTCAAGGCCTGCACTTGTGCGCCTTGTTCTCCACTCCAAGCTCCTTAAATGATCTGCTAGATGTGAAATTTCAAAGGCTCCTTTACATATTACGACTGAGGTTTACAGAGGGAAAGTACCTACGATGTGTGCTATTGTTGGATCAGCTCTTAGATTTGCAATGATCGCAATGAAATCATTTTGCTCCCTTTGATTTTCTAGCAATCGATTGCAATCGCCTGGTAATGAGAATATTGGTAGAAAACTTTAAGATCGTTTGGTTCATTTACAGCTACCGCATATAATTTATTGTTTGTCGTCAAAAATTGACCTCGAAAGGCAGAGCTAATTTTCCCGTTAAATTAGAGTTAATTTGTGACTCTCGTTTTGATTATCACGAAATTATGCAGAAATATGCGAAAATATACTGGAATATTTGGATTATACGAGGCATAGTCCTTATTTACATGTGTCGTGGGTAGTTAGCAATTGCCGGTAAATTGCATTGACCAGATAATTTTTAAAAATGCAGGATAGGAGAAAAGAAACAAGATAGGAGGTACTGATTGTTATGCTTGGAATTCGAACAGACGTATTGTCTTTCTTGAATGTATGGTGCCATCACATTGTCACCTTCTGGCCAAAGTATCACAAGCGCCATGCGACGTCTAAAAATTTCCGCCGTCATTTTATTTTCTTGCATATAAATTTTTCAACAAAGCTGTCCTAAAATTTCAATGAATTTTCTTTGTGCTGCCGATTAAGTTCAGTGAAATTTTCGAACAGATTCAATCAACAATTTCTCTGGAAAAAAAAAATGGAACTTTGCGTGGCGCTTGCGATACTTTGGCCGGGATGTGACGACATATTCGGAAGTGCATGTAGTGAAATCAGTGACCCTAGTTGGGTTTGGTTAGGTTCAGCAACTAAACTAACTTCTAGGCAAAGCGGAGCGTATCACTAGGGTTTGAAGGCGCGCCACATCGAGATCGTGCTTACGAAGTTCATTGCCAAAGGAGGCTTTCCTTTTGTTATGCGAATCATCGCAAGTTGACGAGATAAAGATGTCGCCTGTGAATTTCCGAGGATTACGAACTGCTTGCGGCAAATACACAATATGATGTGTATTTGACAATAAGTATTCAATGTACGCTTTTAATGTAGTTCCACGACTAAAATGTACATTCATTCGAGCTTGTACGTAGGTTGGTCGTTTGCGCAGCAATGAACAAAACTTATAAAAATTTCATTCAAAGAATATGACTACAGTCCTATTACCGGCAAGCTGAATAATGAAATTTATAGACAAAGCTATAGACAAAAAACACAAAGGGAAGCGATTCTATTGATATAAATGGATGGTTGATTGTTATCGACTGAGAGGCAGTAAGATGGACCAACTAAAGGGTCCATCGAGGGTTGCCTTCAGTTAGTCCAATTCTTACCTTTTTTGTCTATAACTTTGTCTATAAAATTCAATAATCAGCCTGCTGAGAAGATTAGGATCCAGAAAAACGGAGGCGATTTAATGAGGGGGAGAGGGGCGCAAGTGCCTACTTTTGATGATATTTGTTGTCGACTTTACCCCGACAGCGGTCTATGTTGGAAAGCTTTTTTTTTAAATGTAATGCGCAAAATTGATTTAAAACTGAGAAAGCACGTCTAAATATGTAATTTGAGTATAATTCAAGAGCGGATAAAACTGCGATTTGAATAATCGAATGCATCATCAACGTTCGGAATTTTTTAGAGCCTTTGGCAGTTCTAAAAAACTAAGCCAAGTGAGCAAGTTAAATATGGAGCCTTCGATGCATACTTTTCTCAAGGTATCCTAAATTATGTTTGAGCTAAAAGAGTGGGTCGTCTTTGGAAATATGATCGAGAGAGAAGATGAACACTGGAAAAAAAGTCTTTTGGATCCACAGTCTAGACTCTTAAAAAATTTGACAAGAAGAAAAAACTCTTGATTCAATCGAATTTTTCCTGGAATCGATAGCAAAGTCTCTTAATTTATGCGGATTTCCTTTTGATTCAAGCAAAAATCCTATTGAATCAAGAGTAATTTTTCTTGTCGATTTTCTAAAGAAGGTAGACTCTAAATCCAATATTTTTTTTTCCAGTGAGCGTGAGCCCACCGTCGAAATTCTAATTCAGCTTATATTCTCTTTCAACTTCATGCCCTTTTGCAATTGGAACTGTAGCACAATTTCAAATTTAAAAAAAAAAGTTTGTACGATTTTAGAAAACACAATCACCGTGACGAAAGCAGCGGAGAAGTGTAACATTCACTTCTTATTCCAACAATTTTTGTGCGAGGCTAGGAAATTTTGCGGCTTCAAAAAGTGCCTAACGAAACGAAGTTGCAGACTTCCTGTCAAGCTTTATTTTCTCTTTGAAAACTAATTAACATAATTCCTTGAAAACTTCCGTGAGTTTTCTTCCCTGTTAGTAGAATTTTCTATAAATGCTTCAATCTATAGGGTTAGCTTGTTCTCCTCGGTAAAAAAAGTAGGAGTAGAGATTTTGGAACATCGCAATGATACACGTGGTCCCGCACTTTGGCAATCGAAATTTGGCGCAGAAGAGGACGCGGGAGTTAATATCCAAAAATGCTACATACAAAATATTAATTAAACTTCACCAAAATCCACCCAAAAAATGATTCGATGTAATATAACCCATTTCAAAGGACGCTCCTTCACAATTTTCACAGAAATGTGAGAAAATTAGGGAATTTTAAGCGTCGCTAATACTAGTCATAATTTTTTAAACTTTAAACCGTAAAGACAGATCTTCTTTTAGCCGCACCAAAAATGCTCAGTCATTCTATCACCACAAAATCAAGAGCATGATATTGTAAAAGGACAGAGAGTTCAGTAGATCATGGATTTTGTGCAAAGGGCTCTAACTTCATGAAAGAAAAGTTGAGTCTCTGGCGACTCTTCGGTTGCCTTTTCTTCAATTTTTTATTTTTATTTTCTTTCATCAGAGCTCAAATAAAAGCCATGACGCATTCAGTAGTAGTCGATTTTATCAAGTATTATAGTTTTCAAACTGATTGCGGAAGACGTTCGAGGCGTAAAGACAGTAAGTTGGCATTTTTAGCCAACGTGCGTCAAAAATCAGCATAAAGCTGAAAATCTCAATACAGAGGAGGGAAATACTCAATACAGGGAAAAGCTCATGATTTTTTCCATCTGTATCGAGAATTTCAGCTTTATGCTGATTTTTAACGCACGTTAGCTAAAAAATGCCAACTAAATGTCTATTATGTGTAGTTTCTAAAAAAAATCCGCTTTATTCCCACTTTCTAATTGAGCCTTTAATTTCCGCGATTCACTGCATACACTCATCTTCTTTGATGGTTGTGTGTACTTCAAAGTAAGCCCTTACCATTGCATTAGCTGATTTAACTTCTTTTTTCTTTTTCTTTTTTTTTTTTCTTTTTTTTCTATATACGTAGCATAAGTTCATACGTGACAATCGGGAGACATGAATTAACGCAAAAGCTATCACAAATTCAAATCAATGGTTGTTAAAAAAATGTTAGCTGCCTTACTTGAAAAAAATTCTTTGTTACGCGAAATTTCATGTCGAATTATCAGAAAATATGAAATAATGCGAAACTCTTCACTTCAAATAAACCCTTAATGTTCGCGTCATCTGATATACCTATTGCATTTTTCTGCGCGCAGTGCGCTGTCAATATATCATTCATATGGCGTTAGTCTCTGTCATATTACCCGCCATGTTAATGTTGTTAATGTTCTCATCTTAAAGCTCACTTTCTCTTCAAATTTTCACTTTTTGACATGGTCTCACCAAAAGATCTACTGCGACGATTTTCGTCATCATTGGGCTCAGGAAATAATTACTAAATTATGCCACTCGACCTTTCAACTTATTTTTATACTGAACCGAACCAAGTTTTTTGAGGGGACGAAAGGAAAAGTAAAAAATTAGAAGAATTGACTGAGGTCATTTATTGATGGTTTCCCTCGAGAATTTTTTTTACCCTTTATCGTACTTTCAGGTAATTTCGATAACATATTCCTCCATTTTTTCAGACATGCGTTTCTACTGTCCATCTTTATTGATTTCTTAAAACGTTTATTATTTGAAGGGAGCACCAAAACTTTTTTCCCGTGATTTTTCAAACACTTTAAATCGTTTTCAGAGAGATAGTTGATTTGATTCTTCGCTAAATGAAATTGCAGCAAAGAAGGGGTATCAATAAAGACCGTTCTTGAGCCCACTCTGAATTTCCTCAACTCTTTGATTTTTTGCTCAATGAAGATTTATATTTTACGGAACGCGTCATGATTAAGTAATTTTCTCTCTTTTTGGGTCCAATACTGGTTTTTATATTGGTATAACTGCCGATTTAGGCGGAAAATTTGAATTTAGAGGGTTCGCGGTTGAATGCCAAAAAAATCGCATTTTTCGCTAAAATCCGTCCTCAGACCCATGTTTAGGTCAGTATTAGACCTCAAATGAAACCAGATTTGACCGAATCATGATGCATCTCGTTAAATATGGATATTTGATTAGCAAAAAATCGTAAAGTTGAGGAAGGTAAACTATAGGGTGGGTCCAAGAATGGCCCTTATCAATACCCATTCTTTGAAAATTCGATATGTCGAAGGCAATTAGTCAAATCAGGCATTTTATCAAATGCCCCCAGTAATCAAATGTTTACAGTTTACGGAATTCTGAAAATTTATGGCGAGGAGTTCACGGGTTTTCAATATTTTGGGAAGAATAACTCTTCAAATCCGCAAACTCTCCTTATTCCTTCCTTTTTATATGCCTTTAGTACAATTAAAAGTTAAAATTTTAAAAATTTCATGTTTTATTACGTGCTGAAAATTTTCTGAGAAATGTACATTCAGGATCTTAAAATCTTTTAACATACTATTGTATGCTGCATATTTTTACAGACAATTCTTCCTCACAGGAGCAACGAATTATTTTGTCTAAAATTAGGGTAGAAAATCAAAATGTCAATTTAAGTATACTTGACTATTTTGCCTAGGCATTTGACAAAATGCCTGATTCGACTATTTGCCTTCGACAGCTACAAGCACGCGTACATTTCAGTTGAATCGATATTTCTCAAATGAATCAAACCCTATGCACAACAGTGTATCACTATGACCGGTCATGATTTGTTAAATGAAGGGCTCGTAAATACTTCAGTGCGCTAAAAGAGTGAGAAAGGAGTCTGCTACAATGTTTCGGCGTTGATGAACGAACAACCACTCATGCACTTGTGCGCGCAACATTTCTTCAAAAGGAAAACGTAGCGCAAGGATTTATTCGAGAGCTTGTCACTTGGCTGCCCTCGACTCAGTCGGGTCCGAGGCCCATATTTTGTAGCAGGCACGAAGTAGGGGCTGAATAAATCTGTTGTCGAAGTCGAAGGCCCCCGGCCAAGGGCCACTATACATCATCTTCAACTGAAATGCCCTACATTTCGAGTTTTTATCCTTCGTGTGAATTTGGCCTTCTTCACACTTACTGCGTGATTAGTGTTGTATCGTGAAATTTGTTCTTCAACAGAAGGACTGCAATACTGCCGTGCTAAGGAAGAACGTAGTATGAGTCTTTAGACGTTGCCAAATTGCATTTTAAGAATATTTATTTTTGAAGAAAAGAATGAATATTTTGCCTTAAAATTTTCAGAGATTTTAGATCAAATCGCGAACAAAATTCTCTGAAAAGTTGGAAGAAAAATGTTTGAAAATTTCTCCGAAGATTCCTGATTTATTAAAGGTAATTTAGCAACGTCTGAAGGTTCATGCGGCATTCTTCCTCAGCACGACTAGGAATCAGTCGTTTTTTCGTTGATCATGTGAATAGATCAGTGCTAATTTGCGCATTGAATGACTATCACGGTACGCTAATCATCATAATATTCCTACTCTGTTGTAGACGGTCAGGCGCAATACGGCGAAACTCTGTCAAAGTGGGTGCCAGATCCGAGCCCGAACGAGAAACGACACAAGAACTACCCGACCCCGATGACGTCAGAGGACAAGCCGATGTGCGGGTCCCTGTACGGCGAGCCCTCGCCCATCTTCGGGGAGGCCAAGTTCGGCGGGCCCTCCAGCTCCGAGATGGACGAATCCGAGGGCTACGACGAGGCCAAGTTCACCGACTCCAACAACAGCAACCTCGAGTTCGCCGACTCCCCCGAGTTCGACAGGAGTCGCCCCGACGAGACCTACGACGAGAAGTACGCCGTCAGGATCAACAACAACAACAATCTCGAGTACGACAAGCGGGTCTATCAATCCGACAGGTGAGTGTCCTCAATATATTCAAAAGGGATTTGAGAACTTTTCCAGGAAAGCAGTAGTGGATCCAAAAACGCCTTGAAGAGAGGGTCCTTGAATGAGAATTGGGGAGAGAGGGCTCAGGACTTACTTCTCCGGAAAATGTCTTCAAAGTGGACCCCTCCCAGATCTAAGGTTCTCCTGAGGAATGTGGTAGAATGCAAGTTTGTAAAAATGCAATTTGCGTGGGAAAACTTGGGCAACACTGAAATGTAGTTACGTTTCTTCGTGAGAAAAATGACGTATTGCACTTTTTGCAATAAGGAACTAAAATGTCTGGCTGCTACATATAGGCCCAGGGCAATCATAATTGTGCAAATATTGTATCTAAAATGGATGAAAAATCGTATTTCCTAAACATTGTACAATGAGGAACTACAATTTCTCTCTCACTTTACAAACAACAGAAAACCATCAGTTTCCCTATGCACACAAGTGTTTTTATGTATGAGCCAGAAAGGCTTGTTTTTAATTGCAAATTGCAGTCGAGTTGCAAATGAGGGGCTTGGAGGACGAGGCGCACAAGTTCAGTTTTTGAAAAAAAAATAAGATAGTAATAATTTCTAGTAAAACTAGTCTTAATGCATAATCTGTGAAAAATTCTCTCCCGAATTCCGATTTTTAAGCGTTAAAAAGTCAGTTTGAACTTTCTTTCCACCATAAGGATCCATGTAATTTCTTAACTTCAAACACGTATTTCTCGAAATAGCAAAAACTGCACTTATGCGCCTTGTCCTCCAAGCCCCTTAAATGTACCCCGATTAACCCTCCTTTCGATTGACAGGTACGTGAGCCCAACAGACGACTACTTCCAAGCGAACTTCACCTACACGCCGCACCCGCACGTGGCGCCCAAACTGGAGATCTACGACATGGACCGGGAGCTGGACCCCTACGCCGCGGCCTCCTCGCAGCTCTACCCGCAGCCAAGCGGGGCGGTGTCCTTGGTGGGGGCCCCTGGGGCCCTCCAGATCCTCGACGGACCGCCGCCCCCGCGGAAGCGCAACACGGCCAACAAGAAAGAAAGGAAGCGGACCCTGACGCTCAACAAGGCCTTCTCCCTCCTCCGGGCATGCATCCCCAACGTCCCGACGGACACGAAGCTCTCCAAGATCAAGACCCTCAAGCTGGCCAAGGAGTACATCATCTTCCTCCTCGAGACCCTCAAAAGCTCCGACCCCAAGGCCTGGGCCGAGGGCTTCAAGGCAGACAAGGCCCTCTACTCCCCCCGCAAGAGCCAGCAGTTCAAGACCACGCTCAAGGCATACAATGAAAATGTAAGTCCTACTAATAATCATACTCATTACAAGCAGACAGGTAGCCATGATTCACTGGAAAAAAAAACCACATTGGATCTAGAGTCCAGACTCTTAAAAACATCGACAAGAAAAAGTACTCTTGATTCAATCAGAATCTAGCTTCAATCAAGAACCAAGCCTCTTAATTTAAGCGGATTCCGTTTTGATTCAAGCAAAAATCCGATTGAATTACAGTATTTGGACTACATTTTGCAATTTGGAAGTATAAATTCTAGCCCGGTTTAAAAACAACGTATGTGCCATTAGTTTCCCTGTGCACATAAGTGTTTTTCCAGAGGAGCCAGAATTTAAAGTTCCTAATTGCAAAATGCAGTCCATTTTTTCTTGTCAATGTTTTCAAGAGTCTGGACTCTAGGTCCAATGTGTTTTTTTTTTCCAGTGTTTTTTTTCGGTGGGAGGGGGAGGGGGGTCGGCCGGGTGAGGAGGGGAGCTGGGCCCCTCTCTTCCAGAACAAGAGGGGTCTTCTCGTGGATAATTTTCGTATAAGACCAGCTGGACTACATTTTGCAATTAGGCAATACATTATCTGGCTCATAATCAGTTTAGAAGCAACGTATGTACTATTAATTTCCCTTTCCCTATGCACATAATTGTTTTTACGGATGCTCTAGAAATTGCAGTTCCTGATTGCAAAATGTAGTGCAACTGGAAACTGGTATCTTCTAGTGTTTACATTGACTTTTAGGTTGTAATAAGGCTAGGCTTTGATCATGGCATGATTATTTCGTCACTAGACGTTAGTGATGAATTGAGACATTTATGAGCAAAAACACTTGCCACTGTGATTGAGAGACAGTAGATCGATGACCAAAATACGAAACAACGTATCGCCATTGCGGTGTTTCAAAATTGCCGATTCTATTTTATTTTTTCGAAGAAAACCAAGCCAAGTTTATAGCTTGAACTTTATACAGAATACTCTGCTTGCCTGGAGGAAAAATCGGGGAATTTTTCAGGAGATTACGATGATCAGTTTTCCGGAAAAAATTTGAGTTTTACAAGAAGTCTGGAAAGTCGCAAACGGAGATACGTGGTTTCGTACTTTGGCCACTGAGACGCATTCGTTGAAACAATTTCTCTCAAATTTTCTGAAATTCTCTTCTGCTTTCTTCGTTATACGTATCACTAAACTCCTGTAAATTTATCTAGCATTTCTGTCTCTTAAAATCCTCGCTTGTCTCCTAAATCAGGGCTGATTGCAGCCTACCCCAGGAGCTGCCTCAAAATTTCTAGTCCTATAACTTTACGAAGATAAATAAAATCACCAACTTGCCAAATCTGTGGGAATTCCAGCCCATCCATTTCACTCTAATTCTCGATCTTATTTACGGTCCTTACGATGAAAGAATTGGTGGTTTTATCTGTCTCGAATTACGGATGTTTTCCAGGCGTCGCGTTCGCACTCGGGGGATGGGGGTGAAAGGGGAGGGAAGGGGGCGAGGGGGCAGGGTGTAAATGAAGAGTCGCTGAACGCTACGCAAAGGGCGAGGGTGAGAGCGGCGCCCCGCAGAGCGCAGGGACCAGCTCCAGGGTTGACGCAACACATCTCAGGGGATGAGCCGCAGGGTTGCCGCTCTGTCAAAATGGACCGAAAGTCAGGATACGGGATTAAGATCAAGGGATTTAAGCTGATTCGATGGACGCCATATTTTTAGTCAGAACGGCATGCGATATATCGCATCAATTGGCTCCATTTTTTCAGATACTCGTCATTTTTCTCCAATTTTGAGATCGCAATTCTATTGTCAGGAGACTAAAGCACTCACTTACCAATTTCAACAAAGAAATTCAACGTTATAAAGGCGTAGTTTTTTTTTTAGAGAGAGAACATCGCATTCGATACTGATATCGAAACTGCACTCGCAAACTGCGAAACCACTTATCTCAGTTTGCGACGTTGCAGATTCTGCCGTACAAAGCAAAAACGCCGCACTCCATTTTAGATTTTTTAAATTTTTTCCTCATAAAATGTTATACACCGAAAAAAAAAAGTTGCTGAAGTAACATCCCGGATGTAAAAAATCTATACGACAACTCTTGAATTTTGATATAAACGATACGTTTGTTAATTCAACGTAGCTAGGATGTTATTTTAACAGCCAGAGTATTCATAACAACATCCAAGAGTTGTCGCGAAGATTTTTAACATCCGGGATGTTACTTCAGCAACTTTTTTTCCGGTGTATCACAGAAAACTAAGGGGCATCCATCCTTTAGAATTCTTGAATGCCTTTTGCATACTGCTGAGGACTCGATCTGCGAGAAAATTGAGCAAAATGTATATAGATTTTTTTTTCGTAAGAGAATAGAATGTGTGAATGAAAAATGCAAAATCTTGAATTGTGTTATGGCGTTTTTGCTGTGGATGACAGATTTCTTGTCACACTTTATTTTTTCGTTAAGGTAACAACCATCGGGGTCTCAATCATCGTATTTCCTTGAACATACCCGTAATTTTTCTTCTAGGTTAGTAGAATATTCTGTAAAAATTTGAAGGTTTAAAGTTGGCATGTTTCTTTCCGAAAAAATATACTAAAAAATATGAGGAAATGGTACTTGTACACTTTTAACCATCGATATATGATTCCTTTTCGAAATTTTTCATAGAATACGATGGACGCATCAAAACTTTTCAAATTCGACTTATCTCTTGTTTATGTTCATTCAAAATTCCCGCTCACAGAAAAAAGAGTCTACTTGAGTCAAATTGTGCATCAAACTAAGTATACTGTGTATTTCATGATATGGACGAATTTTTCTCTGTACTGACTTTTAAATGAAAAGACTGAAGGTACTTTGCATAACAAGGCGCTTAGTGCAGGTTTTGAAAAAATTAAGATATTAATGATTTCAAGTACAACTAGTCATAATGCATATTCTGTAAAAAGTCAGTTTGAACTTTCTCTCCGCCGCGCCGTAAGGATCAGTAAGTTTCGAAACTTCAAACACGGATTTTTCGAAATAGCAATAATTGCTCTTATGCGCCTTGTCCTCCAAGCTCCTCAATTGAGATACTGGGTTTCCGGATTTAGCCGTCGATTTGCAACGAGATCCGGGCAGTATACTGCCATGCAAAGGAAGAACGCCGTATTAACATTCGAGTGTTTCCAAATTTCCCTATTGATAAAACATGCATTTTTTACGAAATTCATTCATATTTTCCCCTAAAATGTTTACATATTTTAGATTCAATTGGGTACGAAATTGTCTGAAAATTTCGACAAAAAATATTCACAATATTCTCGGTAAATTCGGTTTTTATCGAAGGAAATTTGGCGACGTTTGAAGGCTCATACGGCGTTCTCCATTAGCACGGCAGTATATCCGATGCAATTTTGGAACACTTTCTTGCGCTCGGGGCGTCGATAATTCGTCGCGCGCAACTGCCCCACGTGACAACCGCGCATACCGTTCACCGTTATCGCTGCGAGTATATTCGATTAAGTTAAGTAAATTGCATTTTAATGGCTTTATTTACTTGCGGTTTTGGGGGCTTACCCTAATTCACCGTAATTCGATTGTTGAGCAATACGCGAAGTCGAAGTGACCTTTTGTCTAAAATCTGATGCACAACGCCAGGCGGAAAGAGGCTATCTGAATTGGGAAACGTGTCTCATTAATGACACTCTTTATTATTGGTGAGGGCCCATCTTAAAGTGTAGGTGACGCTCTTCTGCAGCCCCTCCATTTAATTATCGTGAGAGGCACGTTTGTAGTAGAAACATAGGAGGTTATTCTGCTCAGTTGACAGGGTAACGTGTGAATTTACCGGGAACGTCAAAAATCAGATCAATAATCATGAGAGACAAAGAGTTTAATCATACTGCCATAATTTCGTACACGGGCAGCTTTTAAAGAAGAGGCACGAATTCAAAAGGCACCGAAGACTAAAACATAAAAAGTAACTCACAGAACTTTTGTAATGCACGTAAATACTTGTTTGATATTTTGAGAAATGGAATTTCTGTTAATAGCTGTCTCACGAAAATTGATTTTTTTGAAAATGTTTTTATTTGTTTGGAATCTTCTTATATATGGCTAATTGAGAAATGAAGTGCTTGGAGGACAAGGCGCATTTGTATGCATTTTTTGAAGAAATTGAGATATTAATGGTTTCAAGTAAAATTAGTCCTAATGCATAATCTGAGAAAAATTCGCTCCCAAATTCCAATATTTATGCATCAAAATGTCAGTTTGAACTTTCTTTCCGCCAGAAGGATCCATGTAATTTCGAAACTTCAAACATGTATGGTTGGATGGTTGGTTGGTTGGTTGGTAGATACGTTTATTTGGTGCTTTTAACATTTAAGCCATTAACACCTTAGAGGAGGGATTAAAATAATGTAGTACAGAATTTAAACATTTAAAAAGTAAGGGTCACAAAAGGGTAGTGCACGAAATTCTCGAAATGTACTTATGCGCCTTGTCCTCCGAGCCCATAAAATGAGCAATATTTAATCGCAGAGAGAGAGAAACAAGTCTTAATGAAGTAGTTTGTCTCACCTAATATCGATATTTTTCACGATTTTAAATGGAGGGGAAAGCGGCGATGCCAACTTGCAAAATGGCCACTGGTTGTTAGCACGGATTTTTTATTCTTTTAAGGGTCCTGTCGAATTATTTTGCGATTCAAAGAGCTTGAGATTCTTTTCAATGAACGAAATCCTCGTAATTTTGATTTTATAGTTGTAGGAAATCCAGTCATTCTCAATTAATAACAAAAAGTTCACTTACGAAATCAATATATTTCGAAGTTAATTCGCTATTTTTCTTATCCGTCGTTAAAGTCTCCGGGCAATATTAGTTTTTAAAGATAAATAAGGGAACTTTGAGTAAATCCATTGAAGCTTAGCTAGTTTTAAGCACTCCAAACTATATTCTTACACTTTTTAAGATGGTGACATTTTATGTGCGTCTATTTTTTCGTGGCAGAATAAATATATTCTGAGAGTAAAAACATAGCTTGGAGAAAAATAAATCATCCTTTTAAAGTTCAAATCGCTTTACTGGACCGCGTTTAGCAGAGAGGGGCCAAGGCACATCAGCTTCTGCCAAATTTACCGGGACAATTTAATTTTTTAACAGGGGAACGTTTGTGCAGATTTCTTTGAAACTTTTTAGGAATTTGCTTCGTACTCTGCAAAAAATTCCCTGTTTGCACAAAAATCCGCACAACCGTCTTCGTGTAAAAATTTACAGGGACAATTTAATTTTTTAACAGGGGAACATTTGTGCAGATTTCTTTGAAAATGTGTAGGAATTTGCCTCGTACTCTGCGAAAAATTCCCTGTTAGCACAAAAATCCGCACAACCGTCTTCGTGTAAAAAATTAAATTGCCCGATTAAATTTTGCCTTGGCTGATGTGTCTTCTACTTCCTTCTTCCTGTGTCCTCTCTTCTAACTGCGGTCTATCTGTCCGAAAAAAGAAGGGAAAGTCTCAAACTTCTCTAAGTCTAAGACTTTCTCTCTGCAACATTTCTAACAGAACGCAACTTTATGTTTCAGACTGATGCGAATCAAGTAACAGAGGCTCGAAAATCCAAAGGGCGCACTGGCTGGCCTCAAGACGTATGGGCTTACGAACTGAAGCCCCAACAATTCTCTTCACCACCTCCCGTCAGAATTTAAGGGATGTTAAATACCGCTGGATCCCAAAAATTTACTCTGTACCGCAAAGTTACCCGTGCATTGTCATAGTCTGTGAACCAAAAGAATTACAAAATATTTTAGTGTTTAGGTGACAAGGCAAAACTTTAATCCACGACTTTTCTGTTCATCATGCACAAATGGTGGAGCGTGCAATATTTTGCCAGTTATGTAAATAATCAGCAGCTTGTAAAAATCTTCGTTTAATGGTTTCTGTAAATAAATGTTAATCGAATCATTAAGTTCAAATTCTACGATTTGCTCTTGTTTTCATTTTAATTCTGTGTTTTTCCGAGAAATTGCCAGATTACAAAGCTTCAGAGCGCCAGTTATCGAATCAATTTTTCCCGAAAAAGTTAGATTTTTGTCAAACAGATAAGGGTACGTTACTTCATAAAATGATTCTCAAGCTCAGCTTGAAATTGCATCTCTTATGCAAGATTTAATGAAGAAGCCTGTAATACCAATTTCCAGAACTGCAAGCTGGAATTGAGCGCAGTCTGGATTAGTTAAAATGTTTCAAGTTTTGTCTCTCCAAAATTTGTAATAATAGTATGAAAATTTCAATTCGCCTTTCGTGCAACTTAAATCTTCTTCGCTCGGAATCACAGATAAAAAGACAATCTCAAATATGTACATATAACCGGTCATCGCTTGGTACTGCCGTGCTGAGGAATAACGCCGTATGAACATTCAAGAGTTGCCAAATTTTCTCTTATAAAGTATTTACTTTGGAAGAAACTTATGAATATTTTCTCTTGAAATTTTCAGACTTAAATCAAATTAAGAACAAAATTCTCTGAAAAATTCAGGTAAAAATATCAACAAATTTGCCCGAAAATTCATGATTTGTCGATGGAGATTTGGCAATGGCCGATGGTTCATACGGCGTTCTTCCTTAGCAGGGCAGTATAGTAGGTATTCATTAGTTCGTTGACCCAAAAATACTTGAATGGTCAGAACTATCTGATTGAAAACAGAACAGCCCTGACTCATTAGATCTATTTATCTATCCGGGAGTTATATCGTCGCTCCTGTGACGTGAGGACGTACCTCTATTTCCGCATGAGCCGCGAATAGCATGGAGTTAAACGTAGAATAGGGCTCACTTGGCAATGGAGATACGCCTTTACGTCAGAGGAGCGACGATATGAAATAATCGTCCAGCGCCAACCGTGACGTCATGGGATTGCAACGTGCCTAATAATCTTCTGCAGATAAAGTATGACATGTTGCCAGTTCAGTTAGTCTAACCGCCTTTTAAAAATTATTTGAAGCTACTGAATAGGCAGGTTAAAAAGAGGCTAGGATCCAAAATAAAAACAGGAAAGATTTTGAATACGTTCAAAATGATTTCGTAAAATCGAAAATTTCCCAGACCCATATTTTGTCGCATTGCAGGTTATTTCGTCGTTAACGTGATTCGACGGTTGCGATTTGTTGTGTCAGCAGAGCGACGTGCGATATAATTGCATCAATCCGTTCCATAATTTCAGCTACTTGTCATTTCTTTCGAATTTTGAGATCGCACTTCTCCTGTGGTGGGACTAAAGAATTCATGTACCAACTTTGACAAAGAAATTCATCGTAATAAAGGCAATGTTTTCTTAAAGGAAAATTGTCGCATTCGATACCGATATCGAAACTGCCCTCGAATGCGATATTTTTCCTCTGAAAAAACTCTTCCTTTAATACGTTGAATTTGTTTGTCTAAACTGGTAAGTAAATTCTTTAGTCTCCTGATAACAGAATTGCGAGCTCAAAATTCAAGAAAAATTATTCGTTTTTATGTATTCGTTTTTTTTTCTGAAGTAACGGGAAGAGAGATTATTTTTCGAAAAATAGATCAGTCGGGAGAGAGTTTCTCGAAACCGCCAGGGTTTAAAATGTCTCCCTTTGCACCCATTGCACTGTGGGGCGTGTTGAGCTATACTCAACAACAATGCTTAAATCATACAATGATTTAACTATAAAACATGTAATACTGAAATAACTTTATTGATAGTTTTTCATGCCATTCTCGTTCTTCTTTTCTGAGTTTAATCGAGGGGCTCGGAGGACAAGGCGCATATATGCAGTTTTTGAAAAAATTGAGGTATTAATGATTTCAAGTAAAACTAGTATTGACGCATATTCTGTGAAATATTCGCCTCCAAAGTCCAATTTTTACGCATCAAAAAGCCAGTTCGAACTTTCTTTCCGCCATTGGGATCCATGTAATTTCGAAACTTAAAATACGTATTTCTCAAAATAGCAAAAACTGCACTTATGCGCCTTGTCCTCCAAGCCTCGCAATTGGACAACTTAGGTTATTGAATGATACGTACATACAACTTTTACGAGGGTGTGGGAGAATTTGGAAGATCAGCTAATGAGGAGTTGTCAAGTCTCACCAGGGCGCAATAACTCTACTTGCTTTTGGGCAGTAAAAAGTCAAATTCTTGCATTACCGATGGAGCTGAAAATCATCCTACGAGAGAGAGTCAGCTGTAAAACGTGCGCAGGATAAACAAGATTGGACCCTAATGGCACATCTTTTTTTAAGAGTATTGTCACCTGTCACCTGTCCTGCTAATGATTAATAAGCGACTCGTGTTTCGTGAGGGAGTGAAAATGGTTCACAAGTCACCCCTGTCCCGACTTTCACACATCGCGTACCTCCGCAGCAACCCTTAAAATTCCCGTATCAAAACGCGGAGATTTATTCCGTCCGCGGGAGTAAATAAGATCCGGCCGCGGCGAAGTTGTCAAATTTCATTTTAATGAAGTCATTAATTTTGAAAGGAATGAATAGGATTGAGTAAGCTGTTATTACGCACTCCCAATTAGTTTGCATGTTGTAAGTCATTAATAATAAAATCAAGTGTTCTGCCAAACGCCTGGGCGGATAGATTTTGCTATAGTAATTATATTAATACGCAACTGAAAAAGTGCAATGTTTAAAAAATCTCCGTCATTTGCTATAGTTTTTCAAATAAGTCACTGAGCATTTATTTGTTCTTTTTCAAGGAGGTGGGGAAGGCGGTCTATCTCATGGGTACAAAAATCCTGAAAATCACGAAAAACCGACGATTTCGGAAAATCGAAAATCCTCTCACAGGCAATTTTGGAGATGACTTCAGATGAAAAAAAAATTGTCATTTATTCCAACCATGGGAAAGATCCAGGACCCTGCCCCCCGCCTCCATCATGTCACTTGGCGTTAAGGGTTCTGTTTTGGGTTAAAAATTAAAATCGCATAACCAACAATTTAGCAAAATTTATTTGCTATCACTGGGAAAAAAAGTCGCTTGGATCTAGAGTCCAGACTCTTAAAAATATTGACAAGAAAAAACACTCTGGATTCAATCGGATTTTTGCTTGAATTGAGAACGAAACATCTAATTTAAGCGGATTTCTTTTGGATTCAAGCAAAAATCCGATTGAATCAAGAGTATTTTTTCTTGTCATTGTTTTCAAAAGACTGCGGACTCTAGATCAGAGCGACTTTTTTTCCAGTATTTGCAATGTTCGTTTACTTCCGATGCAGACTTACGACTCACCTTGGAATAACTTTTTACCTTTCTACCCGTTTTTTATCTACGTTACAGGACACGAACATCAATTTTGTGCGATATGGCAAGGAGGCGCGCGATGCCGCGAGCCAGAAACGAACGGGAGGGGGGGGGCGTCGATTCGGCAGGAAACGGTTCTAGATGGACTGAATTCTGGATTCGGATCGAGGCTGGAAATCCCATCCCGGCGCCTGCGCACTCGACACCGCTACACGCACTAAACGTGGACTAATTAGGGAGCCCTCCATGACCCGTGCCCCGCGACAGCTATATCAACGGAGCACCGCCCCCCGGATCCCGTCCCCATTCGCGTCTGCCCGAGCTCGTAAATTTATCCCGACGATTTTTCACCGCTCAAACGCCCGCTTTATTTCAGCTGCCTCGACCCGGAACGGCTGCCATTGTGTTTCCTAGACAATTTTAAAATTTAATATTACTTCCTGCAGCATAATGAGTCAAGCGGATGGGGGGGGGCGCAGGCCCTGAAGTGAAAAAACTGTTTTTCGTATGATCTCCCGCGCCCCGTGCTCCGCCCCAGTGAGAATTTTTGAAAAAAACGCAACCATTTTTGGGTGTATCAGACCACACTGGGAAAAGAACAAATTGGATCTAGAGTCCGGACTCTTAAAAACATCGACAAGAAAAAATACTCTTGATTCAATCAGATTTAAGCTTAAATCAAGAACCAAGCCTCTTAATTTGAGCGGATTTCCTTTTGATTTAAGCGTAAATCTGATTGAATAAAGAGTCCTTTTTCTTGTCAATGTTTTCAAGAGTCTGGACTCCAGATCCAATGTATTTATTTTTCCAGTTCATGCCATTTAATACCTGAAGAGATGGGGGGATTTCATTCTGGGCCCAGTTTCAATGGCAGATGGAGCAACCTCTTTGCAATCTCGTTAATAACTATTAAAAGTCATTTGGAAAAAACAGCATAAAAAGCGGGAGACCTGTTAACTTTTATAATGAGTTTATTAAGCCTATTTACAAAAGAAGCTTCATTAAAGTATCTAAATGTATCAAACAGTAAAATAACAAATTAATTTGGTTCGATGGGACTTACGGTAGATGGAAGTCAAGGTGTCAACTAGCAAAAAGCGGAAAGGATTCTCGTGAAAGTAACTTAATGTGTAATTTTCACTCTGTCAAATTAAGGTATTTTATTTGTGCTTTTGATATTTTAAGAACACAGTCATGCGGCAATGTAACTATATAAGTTCCAAAAACGTCAAGTAGTAAAACTGACACTATTAAGGGTTAAGTGGACATGGTTTTAATTAATTACAGTAAATCTTTTTCGACGTATTTTGCAACGTGATCAAGAATTTTACTTTTATATTTTTAAAAGTTTGACTGAGTATCATGAATTCATAGCAATAAGTAAAATTGCACTATGAAATAGCCGGGGGCGACGTCATTGCGATATAACGGTGATATTATTCCAATTGTTACCATTCAACAAATAGTCGCATTTATGTTCATCAGACAAATCAGATGAAAGTATGTTGATAACGATGGAACAATGGTATGCACGTAAGGAAGTTATAAAATTTGTAAGTATGAAATTAACAAAATTATTAAAATTAACAGATAATTTTAAAATGTGCATTTTACGAATTAAGGAAGTCAACGAGTGTACTTGTTAGCAGTGCATTTCGATGGCTGTACTCGGAAAGTGCGTACGATTGCTACTTCATAAAGCCTCGCTCAAGTTTTACTTTTTCAAAAGAAACCTAGCCGACAGTTTTTCTTGAAATTTTCTGTGAATTTTCTTCACTCATTTGAACATTAGTCTCAGAACATTCCAAGGATATATACTGGTTGTGTTCCCCTTAAAATAAAAAATAGAGCGTAGCCCGAGATTTTGAGACATTGCAATGCAGATATACGCATTTTTCCTTTTTAGTCATCGATTTCCAATTTTGAACTGTTCAAAAATCTCAAGTTCCTTACGTTCAATGCACATCTAAACATATTCATAACAAACAAATTATGAGATTTAACCGACCAATGGCTTCATTTCAGCCGATTTTAAAGAAACAAGTGTCGGGGGAAACGTCGGAATTTTCGATGTGTGGCTGTCACGTCGAATCATCATCAACGAAATATTTCGATTGCGATTTTCCACAAAATGCGCGCAATGCGCGTTTCAGGGGTCTGACGGGGATTTCACCGTTTAAATCGAGTTACTGTTGTTGTTTCGGAGGGGCGCTCCTGAGGGACCGTGGTGAGTAGTAGAGATCGCTACGGCCCAGCCTTGGAGAAAAGATCTGATTATTTCTGCGTTTCCCCAGTCGCGGGACGAACGGGGTGGAGCGGGTGATTTCAGGAATGAAGTCTTCTTCTTCCTCTTTCGACGATCGGCCTAGGCGGGGTGTGTAGTTCATACTCCTCGTATTGGCTGGAAAACGAGAAAAAATGTGGTTTTAAAATAAAATTAATTACGTGAATCCTCAAAGCAAGAATCAGTACTTTTGAGAGGGGTATAGTTTTTTAGATTTTTCTCTCGAATCTGAGCGACACCTCACTAACAGCATAGAGCCGTAATAATCGAGCTTCGTTTCTTAACTTTTCTCACGACACCTCATTGGCAACATAAAGCGGAGCTGCGGAACATCACGAATTCACAGCTCGCGACATCGCGCCTTCAATTTTGCAGATGCAACACAGACATTCAGCAAGCACGAATAGTTGTATCTCTGCGCCGTCTTTCCATTTGCTCTATTTCCGTATTGTGCTAGTTTCGTTTGTCTCATTTGTAGTGGTGCTCCAAGGGCTACGTGAGCACCAAAGCCGAAAATAGGATGTGCCCTAATCAATTGTCATTTTGAAAAGGAAAAAATGTTAGAGGTGCCTCAGGCGATTAAAAGGGCTCAAGTCTAACAATTGACTGCACTACCTCTTCTGAGAGAGTGACGCATGACAGATGAGAAGGGAGGGGGGTGATAAAGCGTCTCTTTGTAACTAATCTGAGCCGGCAGAAGAAAAACTCTGAAAAAACGTGCAAAAAATTGAAAATTTTTCGAACATAGGGAGGGGGAGGTCAGTTTAACGTTACGTGGTTCAAAAGAGGGGTGTAGGGCTACATTAAGGGTGCGTTATAAGAGGGAGGGGAGGTAAAAAACTCGGAAAAGTTGCGTTACGTAGTACTTAAATGGCCGCAAACGGAAAAGTTTAACAACTTTTTTTCACGTCCGATTTCTTCCAATAGTTTGTTCTACTGTACTACCGTATAATAGCGAAGGAAGCCGCAGTGAGTGTCAAATTTTCGAAATCGATTTTCCTTTAAAATTCGTCTAATTTCTTTTAGATTTAATCACTAAAATAGCTAAAACAGCAACATTCATCTTATTTTCGTAAAAACGAGACACATGAAAATGCCTCAAATGCGCAAAAAATGACGTAGTGTCTGGCAAGATAGCGGTATGTGGCAATATTCCTCCAGAGAGCCAATGAAAACAGTATGCTTTGAAGTAAAGTGTCGCCCTCTTCTGCCAATTTTTAACCTGAAAATGTGTTTGTTGTGTGTCCAAAACGCAACCACGAAAGCATGCAGAAGATAGCACTTACGGCTGTTTTGCCTAAGCATGAAAATGAAAAACACCTTTTTATGTAATTGAAATAAAATCAGTCAATTTTTTATCATCAAATCCGATTTCTAGGAGTCTTTCAGACGATTCGTGATAATTTGAGAAAGAACGGAGACTTCTTTCAATCCAATTTTCAGGTCACATGCTGCTGAGCCCGGTTTCTCAAAACTTCATTTTTGCACTTACTGCTCTCTTCGCTATCACGGTAGTGTACACTGGAAAAAAAACCACATTGGATCTAGAGTGCAGACTCTTAAAAACATCGACAAGGAAAAGTACTCTTGATTCAATCAGAATCTAGCTCAAATCAAGAACCAAGCCTCTTAATGGAGATGTTGCATGTGTGAGGGATTTGCGATTTGACTGCTATTTCTTATATAAAAGTTCGCGAGAAACACGATGGTGCCACTGGTTTTCTCTAAAATCAACTCCTAAGCGCAAAAAAAGCTCTCAAGTTGAGGCCAAAATGGAGGGGATGTCTCGCCCTACCCTGAGAGTCCACCTCAACAACAACAACAACAACAACAACAACAACAACAACAAAACAATCAAAACAAACTCTCCATGCAAAGATAGGGAGCAAATACATTAGCAGGGTTGCCGTGTTTTCAGTTTTGGAGTCCCCAAATGAAGTGGCAGCCCTGTCAATGTATTTGCTCCCTATCTTTGCATGGAGAGTTTGTTTTGATGTAGAGGTGGACTCTCAGGGTAGGGCGGGATATTCCCTCAATTTTGGCCTCAACTTGAGACCTTTTTTGCGCTTGGGAGTTGATTTCTGAGAAAACTAGTGGCACCATCGTGTTTTTCGCGAACTTTTACATAAGAATCAACAGTCAAATCGCTAATCCCTCACACATGCAACATCTCCATTTAAGCGGATTTCGTTTTGATTCAAGCAAAAATCCGATTGAATCAAGAGTATTTTTTCTTGTCGATGTTTTCAAGAGTCTGGACTCTAGATCCAATGTGTTTTTTTCCAGTGTAGGGCGACGCGCGGCGGGCGGCAAGGATTGATGGGGGCTCCATTTGAGATTCAAGTCAGGGGCGCGAGGTTCGTCGGCGACCCAGAACGGGTCTTCATTACGGGGCGCGGAGCCGTGACAGTTGACACCTGAACTCGTCGCGGACTCCCGGAGCTGGAGCCGGGATCGACAGACAATCATTTGCATGATATCGGCTCCAAATAAATTCTCATGGACGCCCGACGCCGCCAAATGAAGATTTACGTCGCGACAACGCGACACAGCGCCGCGAGGTGCCGCGCTTTTCCGACGGCGCGGCGCACGGTGGATCGAGTCAATAGGAGAGGCTGGACAAAATCTAGAAACGTTAAACGCTTATATCACCACGGAATGTCCAAGGACAGCAGAAAGAGGATTTATAATTCAACCTATATTCTGACCTATGGGGGTGAAGCGTGGCAGTTAAGGAAGCGGACCCAAGAAACACTGGAAAAAAACCACATTGGATCTAGAGTCCAGACTCTTAAAAACATCGACAAGAAAAAATACTCTTGATTAAATCAGATTTAAGCTTAAATCAAGAACCAAGCAACTTAATTTGAGCGGATTTCCTTTTTATTTAAGCTTAAATCTGATCGAATCAAGAGTCCTTTTTTTTGTCGATGTTTTCAAGAGTCTGGACTCTAGATCCAATGTGGTTTTTTTTTTTTCTAACAGTGAATGCTCAAGGCGACAGAGACGGATTTCTAGCGAAGATCGGCTGGAATCTCGAGGAGAGAACGTATCAGGAATAAACGTGTCCAACCAAGCAATTGGTGCGGTATGTGCATGTGCAGAGGATGGCTGATACGAGGTTGTCGAAGAGGATGATAGAGTGGGTCCATCCAGGTAGGCGACGGAAAAGGCGCCCAGCGAAACGGTGGGTAGAGGGCATCCGTCAAGAGATGGATAGATGCCAGTTCCCGGAGGATCTCTATACTGTGACAGATTCCTGTGGCGAGTAGACGTCGCAGAGCGCCCTAGCGCACCGTAAAGGTGACTAATCCATACATAAACGCTTATAACTCCGTTCATAAAAGTTTTTGAGGTTCTAAAAGTGGTTCCATTTTTTTCCTCGTAAAATTTTCTTCTAAATGCACCCCTTGAAAAAAAATGTGACGAAGTAAACATAAAAATTTGAAGTTTTAGTCAAAAATTTCGTGTTCGACCTCTCAATTCACTCGATCCATTGTGCGGTGCGGCGTCGAGTTTCACGCTATTCGTCGTTCTTCTGACATGGCTTAAGCACAGCCTGCAATGAACCTTGGTGTTCGCATAATCCAATGTTTTTCCGGGCTCATCTCAAGGCGTAGCTATGCCCTTTATGTCTGCCGGCGACGAATTGTTCCACCACTTTCGAGAAGGGATTTGATAACCTCTCACGAGTGCTCCGCAACCCAAGATAAAAGCAAGTAAGAGAAAAGAGCCGACTTTTGGACTTTTGACTTCGGACAGAAACTCCCATTTTTGGCTTATTCATGAAACCTGTATAAGAAACCTCATGACGCATGTGTTTTTTCTTAGATGAGACAGAAATGGAACGCGTTTAGCAGAAAGGAACCAAGCCACATGAGTTATTGCCAAATTTGACTTGGTGATTTAAGTTTTTAACAGGGGGACGTTTGTACGGATTCCTTTGAAAATTTTAAGAAAATTGCTACGTACTATGCAGAAAATTCACCGAAATTTGTACAAAAATCCGCACAACCGTCTTCATGCAAACAATTTAATTGCCCGAATAAAGTTGGTACCAGCTTGGTTCCTTTTTGCTTGACGCGGTCTATATAGTGGCCCCTAATTGCAAAATCTAGCCGATTTCGTAATATCACAGAGCAGATTAACCTGGAAGCGCGGTTAATATTTTCCGGCGAGTTTCTCTTTGGGTTACATTCACCAAATGAATCTTTGGGTTGATAATTTGCAACTTCGTTTAAAATCAGGCCCGAGCGGCCAGGATTAAACTTGCATAGCATTGGTCATAGTCCAAACTCCAATGCGCTAGCCACTAGTAAGTGTGACAACTTCTGTGTGACCCGAGAGAAACAAGAGAATAGATTAGGCCAGCAGGACATGCTCTTCGTCACCAGATGTCTCAAAATAACCTGCGGTCACGGTCGATTTAACCAAAAATTTGGTCCATCGACCAATCGGTCCGATTGATCTGACCGAGACAAAGGTAAATCAAAGTAACCATAGATACGGACATTTTTAATAGTTTGCTGAAAACCACAATATGAGGAGAACATGGTTTCATGTTCTATGAGCAATGGTGGTATGAGCATGGTTGCAATTTTGTTTAACTGTCCGACAATGACCAACATGAAATAGCGTTAAGACCAAGTTGGCACTCACCTACACTGTTGGTATGATGTGCATGCCTTTATAATACCACGTTGTAGCGTCAACATTGTAACATGTCCTGTTTCGGACCATGACGGTAAGAAAATGATCTCAACAAGCATTTCAAACGAGGATATTTTTACTTTGGATTTTATAAAGGGATGATATCAAGATGGCACATGCGTCTGTAAAGACATCGCCAGATGAGGAAATTTTTCCCAAGCCAGAATCACATGAGAGTCACGGAAGGACATCAGAGTTGTTTTGAAAACGCTGAATTTGTTTAGTCCGTATCATACGTGTCTAGAATAACACTCTAAGGCATTTATTTGTGCATAAGTTGTCGGCACTTAGCTCCGTTCGGAGGTAAAGATGGGGGCCGGCAAAAAAAAAAAAACCCCGCATCAAACAATTAGTTGAATTCAAAACTACTCCCAACTCACCGTCTGATACCGATTGCGAGTCCTTTGAGAGAATAGAATGTCAAAACTCATAATCTCGGTTCAATCTTGATGTTACTCTGTTCATTTTTTCAAAATCGGTCCACGATGTTTTCCTCAGTAGCAGGCAAACCATGCAATCTATTTGTTGCCGAAAAATCTTCCTGGCTTAGGGACAAACGCTTAAAACGCCTTCAAATATGAGGAACGCAACATGACCAGCTTGTGGAACAATAAGCAAGTTTGTAAATGGATGCTTTACCATCCGATGGAAGTTCCATCATGCAATGGGAGGTTTTACGTAAAAAAGACCCTAACGTATTTCAATATTTTCGGCAACAATAAATATAGATAATGAAATAAAAATAACACGTATCTAGATTGCGATGTTTCAACTTCTCAACCCCCTTTTCCCTGACCGTCAGTTTGCGCGAGAATTTTTGGGTATATTTTAGTATATCAACACGCACAGTGAAATCTTTACAATATCGATGCGAATTATTGCATTTGACGAGTTGCGACGCATACTAGTTGCGAATTGGACGCATTTAAATCAAACGGAACTTATACATTGTGACATGAGCCTTGTCATGCATGTATACTTATGGGCCTTAGAGCCCATGTCAGAATGAGTATAGTGCCTTTTGATTTAAACACTTCCCAATACTGGAGATCGCTGACCACCTGCGACTGTGCGACACTCGTTATGAAGCTAATTACTGTATCAACGGTGTTTATCGAACACAGCCATTTTTCAGCATAATGCTTTTTAGAATCCGCAAACCTTCAAAAAAGTTGGTACCAAGTTTCAGACCTCTGGAATAATTTTTCACTCAGATTTGAATAGAAAACCGTCTTACATCTACCAGCGTGTCTACAGATCATATAATTATATGAAATCTTTTTGCGAATGTTCTTTCATATGTACTGTATCTTGGTGGATCCTGATTCCTCGTCTAAGAAATGACAAGAGTAGGCATGCAATTTTATACGATTCGTATACGAGTATACGACAGGCACGCATTTAAGATCCAAGTTAAACAGTTGTCCCCATCCTAAAACGCCTTCAATTTTGCACAATACCTCACAACTCACACCTAAATTAAAATATACTTATCACCAATTGCCGTGCGGAATTTCTGCGGTTCGAACCTTCATGAAGTATGTTGTCTCGCATTTAGTCGGAAAAATCTTCATGGAATCCGTTAGCTTTTATACAGTTACTTGTGATGATTCATTACAATGTTCAGGACTCCTTGAACATGAGACATTTTGATTGCAAGGAATTTTCAGACTTATTTTACAACCATGGCGTAAAGACGACAAAGTTACGTGTTTGTTTACAGTACTGCCGTGCTAAGTAAAAACGCCGTATGAACCTTCAGCCGTTGCCAAATTTCGATTGATAAAACACGAATTTCCTGGTAAACTTATGAATATTTTTCTTCCAATTTCTCAGATAATTTTGCTCGCAATTTCACCCAAAGCTCCTGATTTCAAGGAAGAATATTCATAACTTTCTTCAAAAATAAATATTTTATCATAGGAAATTTGGCGATTCGAATGTTCATACAGCGTTCTTCCTTAACACGGCAGAGTGCACGGAGAAAAAAACCTCGTGCTTGGGACCCGAAGTTTAGGTCATATGGATCTCTGAAGTTTTCGGATTGAGCATATGAACACTTTAAGTATAGCTGTCGAGGTTCGGATCACACATGTGAAACTTCAGTTCTTACATCTGAAGTACTTCAGATGTGAGAACCGAAGTTTTCCGGATGTGAGAACCGAAGTTTTTCGGATGTGAAAACCTAAGTACTTTAGATGTAAGAACTGAAGTTTTAGATGTGTGATCCAAAACTCAGCAGCTGGACCTAAAGTGTTCAGATGCTCAGTCCAAAAACTTCAGAGATCCATACGACCTAAACTTCGGGTCCCATGCACGAAGTTTTTTTCTCCGTGTAGAACCATAAAACTGCAATATACCGATGGCTGAAGTCAAAAGTGCGTATCTCCGATTGCGACGTTGTAATTTTCCGATCTTTATAAAAATATTTACAATTACCTTTTTCCTTAAGAGGGATGAGGACCCAAGGCGAGGAAGATTTGATGAACTCGAGGATGGACTCCTCGTCCTTGTCTGGGATCTCGGGCCCGAGCTCCTCCTCGGAGTTGCGCTTCTTGCGGCCGAGCCGGGGGCCGAACCAGAGGTCCGCGCGGTTGAACGAGGCCTTCCCGCTTCGTTTCCGCCCGGAGTCGACCCCGTCGCTGGCGCCCACCTCCAGGCCCAACAGCATCGCCTCCTCCAGGATATCCGACCTACTGATCGCTCGTGGGTCCATCTGCTGAATGCCTGCACACCAGCACAATATATTAGTTCAAAACACAACTGTACTGCCGCACTGAAAAAAAAAAAACCACATTGGATTTGGGGTCCAGACTCTTAGAAACATCGACAAGAAAAAATACTCTCGATTCAATCAGATGTAAGCTTAAATCAAGAACCAAGCCTCTTAATTTCCTCCTTGTGGTCGGCCTCCTGTGGTGTAGTAGTTGTAGCGCTGGCTCTATAATCAGGAGGTCCTTGGTTCGATTCCCGGCTAGGCGACCCGAGTTTGATGGTCTCAAACAACGGTTGCCTCGGGCTGGTACGCAGTAGGGACGGAGGGGGGATGGGCTCTATCTGGAAGCGCAAGGATTACCACTTGTGTGGTATTTAAAGTAGTTAAAAAAAAAAAAAAAAAAAAAAAAAAAAAAAAAAAAAAAAAAAAAAAAAAAAAAAAANAAAAAAAAAAAAAAAAAACTCGAGCGGATTTCCTTTTGATTTAAGCTTAAATCTGATTGGATCAAGAGTATTTTTTCTTGTCAATGTTTTCAAGAGTCTGGACTCTAGATCCAATGTATCTTTTTTTCCCAGTGAGTGATAGCGAAGAAAGCAGTAAGTGTCAAACTTTCGAAATCGAGTTTCTTTCAAAATTCGTCTAAACTCTTTTAGATAATATCACAGACATTCCTAAAACAGCAAAATTCATCTTATTTTCATTAAAACGAGACATATGAAAATGCCGCAGGTGCGCAAAAAATGACGTAGTTTCAGGCAAGACAGCAATACTTGACGCATTATTCCTGCAGAGAGCCAATGATGAAAACAGTGCTTTCAAGTAAAGTGCCGCCCTCTCCTTGCCAATTTCTACCCTGACAATGTGTTTTTTCTGTGACCAAAATGCAACCACGAAAGCATGTAGAATATAACACTTACGACTGTCTTGCCGAACAATAATCTAGCGTGAAAATGAAAAATATCCTTTTCATGTAATTGAAATAAAATCAGTCGATTTTTAATCATCCAAACGATTTCTAGGAGTTTTTCGGCCGATTTGTGGCAATTTGACAATTTTCCAGTCAGAAGCCTCTGAGCCGGTTTTCTCAAACCTTCATTTTTGCACTTACTGCCCTCTTCGTTATCACGGCCCTATAGGCTATAGACAAGGAACATTCTCTGTTGGATCAACAGAATTGGATTGCATTTTGTAATAAGGAACTAATTTTTCTGCTTCTTCCATAATAGCACCTATCTGCATACGGAGACTACAAAACAAGTTACGGGCTACAAAGACATACAGTCCGTACCGGCCTCAGAGGCTGAAAGCTCCGGGTGCTGAAGCCGTAGCCTCGACTGCTCCGGTTTCTACGCCCGGAACTTTCAGCTTCTGAGTCCGGAACGGACGGTATGTCCATATACATATATGTAGCTCGTAAGTACGCTTCCACGGCCGGCGTTTTTTTTTTTTTTTCTCAGTGGACCAAATGACACATGCGTTGTCTTACTACGCTAGAAACTGTAGGTCTTTAAGCAAAAATGCTGTCCAATCAAAAATACTTAGACGAGAATTCTCGTTGAATCAATCAGGAATTGGGAGTCGAGTCAGCGGGCAAGCTTTAAGGGTCTGAGCGGTTTAAGCTCAGATTTAAGCATAAATCAAAAGAAAATCCGCTCAAATTAAGATGCTTGGTTCTTGATTTAAGCTTAGATCTGATTGAATCAAGAGTACTTTTCCTTGTGGATGTTTTTAAGAGTCTGGACTCTAGATCCAATGTGTTTTTTTCCAGTGTATGGACATTTTCTTTCCGATTTTTCAGATAATTTTGCTCGCAATTTTACCCAAAGTTCCTGAAAATTTCAAGGAAATATATTCATAACTCTCCTCAAAAATAAACATTTTATCGAGGGAAATTTAGCAACTCTTGAATGTTCGTTCGGCGTTCTTCCTTAGCGCGGCATCATATCGTTAATGACCCTCACAAAACCTGTTACCACTATCGGGCATTTCCCGAATCAACGGATATCCAGGAGTCCAGGAGATGCGCGTGGTTTTATCGGTTGCGTCAAACTTCCCATCTGCTGGATTTGGGGAAACCGAGGTCCAAAGTTCCTGAGGTCGACTTTGCCCGTGGGTAGTGTTCTTACAAATTAATGTCGCATCGTCCCATAATCAGATAATACCATTTTACGAGAAAGTGTCGTTTGGTTATATGGGGATCATAGTCAGTGTTCGAAACTCACCTTTGAGTTTTAGGAGCCATTTGGCGCATCAAGCCTGATTTTTAGGCGCCATTGAAGATTTTTTAGGGGCCAAATTGGCTTTTTGCCTATATATTACGGCATATTTAGTGAAAAATTAGACGCAAGATGTTTTTATAACAGAACTAGTAAGTACCCTAATCCCTGAAAATTAGAAAAGCCTGGAGCATGGAGCCTGATGTCTACGGACACTAAACATTGTCTAAAGTTGGCTGAAGGTGCAATAGACACGAAGCCATTAAACCAGCANAAAAAAAAAAAAAAAAAAAAAAAAAAAAAAAATTAAAAAAAAAAACTAGTAAGTAGGTGCAACTTGGGGAAGACAAAAGCACTAAGAATGAAATCGTGAAGAATAGAAAAAGCAAGCTTTCACTTGTAGTGCTGAAAATTCTGAGTTTTTTCAATTCAAATAGATTTCTTTTTCTTTCTTTATGTGACCTCCTGTAAAAATCCAGATTTTTAGGGGACAATTTTTAGGGGCCACGTTGGCGCAGAGCCTTCATTTTTTAGGCGCCATGGCCGATTTTTTTAGGCGCATTTGGCGCGTTGCCGCCTGTGAGTTTCGAACACTGGCATCGTCCCATAATCAAATAATACCATTTTACGAGAAAGTGTCGCTAGGTTAAATCGTCACCTTCCAGGCAAAGTATCACAAGCGCCATGCGACGTTTAAAAATTTCCGCCGCCGTTATATTTTTTTACAGAGAAATTGTACAACAAAGCTGTCCGAAAATTTCACTGAATTTTCTTTGTGCTGCCGATAAAATTTAGTGAAATTTCCAAACAGATTCAACCAACAATTTCTCAGTAAAGAAATAAAATGGCGGCGGAAATTTTTAAACGTCGCATGGCGCTTGTGATACTTTGCCTGGAAGGTGACGATATGGGGATCCTCTGGTCGTAGAAAAAGAGAGCGGATGATACACAATTTCATGAATAAATTTAACTATTCTATTAAGGAGGGATGTTTTGAGACACAACTCGCAAAATGAAAGAGCAATTCAGAAAATTTAAATTCGCGCATTTATTGATTTTGAGCGTCTCCAAATACTTTTGGCAGAGAACATTGTTACGATGTTATAATAATTAACAATCAAGCGAAACTTTCCCCCTTGGTTGATACATTTCACTGGAATGTGTTTATCAGAGAAAATTTAAGAAAAAATATCCGAGTTGTTTATCGTGCCGACATTAGTTTGCGGTTGAACTCAATATAGACTTTCATTTTTTTCCAGTGGGATATTTGGATCGCCGAAGATGGGACAAGTTCATTCCTGAGTTGGTGTCAGAAATTTTCAACGTATCCATCAAATTTCGAGTAAAATTTCAATATAGACCTGCATAATGGTGTGGTCTCGATAATATTACTCGTGATTAAGGAGCATTTGCTGTGCCTGCCAATTACCTAAAGTTTACTTAGACTACTTATGTGACCAAGAATTAAATTACTGAAGAAACGAGTAAAGGTATATTTAGTTGCTTCTGGTTGGCATTGGTGAAGATGAAAGAAAATAAAAACCCAAAAATGGAGCATAGTTTGCAAACTTTTAGGCAGAAAAAAAGCCTAATTTTGTAGATAGTCGCAATAACCACAATGAACACTGCCATGGCATTCTTAGATATTGAATGGAAAAGGTTGAGAGTGACAATAAAACCGATAAACTATAATATGATCAAATCATGTTATTTTTTTTTATCTCTGAAAAATAACCTATTATTATGAAATTTATGGAATAAAACAACAAAAATTTCAAAAATCAACAACGGCAAAAAAAAAAAAAAAAACAAAATTAGCTTTTCGCGTCGTTCAAAACTATTTCCCCCTCTACGGCGTCCGAGTGTTGTGTATGTTGCCTATCTACTGATTAAAGGAACACTACTTAATTTAAATTTACTGTATTAAAAATTGAACTAAGTTGCAATTATTTTCATTACATTGCAAACTGCCCATCTTCCTGACACAAGGAACTAAGTTTGTCGATTGTTCAAAATCGGAATTCATTGGAAAAGCGATGTAAAAATATTTTAATTTCATGGTAAAATTTTCAATTTGATTGCATTAAATCGCAAGCTTAACTCTGTATTTCCATTGCACTGTGGAACTTATGACTCTTTTTACAAATTAAGCGACGCCCTGTAGAACGAGTCGTTGGAAGAAGTCGGACATAACATTTTCGACAAAAATTGTAAAATTTTACGTTTATCTTGACAAAATTTTAGTTTTTAAGGGGTGCTCAGAGTAGGCAATTCTAAGGCAAAACCGATGAAACTACTTTTGAAACGTCAAAATTTCATATTCATGAAAATGTACGCTTTTAAATCATATCCGACCTTAGCCATTGACTCGATCCATTGTGCGACGTTGCACTGGAGAATTTGCAAGGGTACGAAATTTGATGAATTTCGTGTTTAAGTGGAATCTACTGAGTGAAGTGAACACGAACCCTTCATTCATAAATTGAGCAATTATTAGAGGATATATGACAAAATAACCGATTCTGCTAAAATACATGTGTTTAAATGGGAAATGCCGCCGGATGACGTCACTAGAAGATGCATTTTTCACCTTTAAATCTATTTTTAAAGCATTTCCCATATCAGAAGAAAATTATAAAAAATATTTTGAAATCAGCTCTGTAAGCACTTTCAGATGAAGCAATAAAAAAATTGCGTGCAAATTCTCTATTAATAATATAAACTAAATTAAAACGACAATTATTCTGCTTTAAAACGGGAAAGAAAGCGTACCTTGGCAGAATGAGATGAGAGCAGATGTGATGACGGCCACTATGAGGTACCCCATCTCGAAATTCCTAAAACAGAAGACTTTGTCCATTCTGGCCGGGGAAATCGAAACTAAGGGAGGATCGAAAGCTCCCCGGGTGATATATAAAGACTCGCGGGCAGAGGGGGTATGCTAATAGTGCGCCCCTGCGTGCGATCTCGAGGAATCATCCCTTTGGCTCCTTTCCTCCCCCTCATCGCCTCCTCCTTGCGTCAGGATTTATCACTGGCTTTTTTTGCTTTTTTTGTTTTTCGTTTTCGGACTGACACCACCTCCGCTCCTATTACCGTCCGAAGCGAACAAATTGACTTTCCCGCCTTCGAAACCGAAATCAATGTTGCCGAATTTTTCGATAAAATTCGGGGATTCTCAAAGTACCTGTTGATCGGTCAGATTACGCAGTTACGGAATGGTGGATTTGCATATAAAAATTGCACTGTTTCATCTGAGAATGCTAAAGGAGTTGAGTTCGCGATATTTTTCATAATTTTTATACTGAAATTGGCAATTGTAGAAAAACAGATTCAAAAGTGAATAGATGTGCCGTCTTGTGACGTCATCTACTGGAATTCACCCTTTTAACATATTCATTTTACCAGATTAGCTTATTTTGTCATAATCCCGACAATAATTGTTTTTTTTTCAACTTTTAACAATTTTTTTTCATTCTTCGTTCCTCTTTTTTACTTTAGTTCATAATTTTGTTTGAATTTTTTATTTTGTTTCCTTTTTCTCATTTTTCATTTTAATATCCTGATCAAGTTATGGTCGAACCACATATTGTATCTTCGTTTCCTTCTCTAATGTTTATCTCTATTGATTTACTCTCTGAATGAAAAAAGGAAGGGAATAACTGAATTTCGGCAGTAGTTATTTTTCTTCTTCGGCGAGGAGAAGGTCAAGAGGAATACTACACATTTTTTTAAAAGAAGGTATGGATCCGCGTTACCCCGTTACGGACACGGAAAAGAAAGAGGTAGGGGTTAAGGTGATTCGACGGACGCCATTTTTCGTGTCAGAGGGACGTGCGATATGTCGCATCGTTTCGTTTCATAATTTCGGCTACTTGTCATTTTTTTTTCGAATTTTGTGATCGCATTTTTGTTGTCATGAGACTTAAGAATTCATGTTCCAAATTTGATAAAGAAATTCATTATAATAAAGGCAGGGTTTTTTTAGAGGAAAAATATCGCATTCGAGTGCAGTTTCGATATCAGTGTCGAATGCGATATTTTTCCTCTAAAAAAACCCTGCCTTTATTATGTTGAATTTCTTTGACGAATTTGGTATATGAATTCTTTAGTCTCATGAGAACAGAAGTGCAATATCAAAATTCGAAAAAACTGACAAGTAGCTGAAATCATGGAACGAATCGATGCGATATATCGCACGTCGCTCTGACAAAAAAAATGGCGTCCGTCGAATCACCTTAAATCCCAATTTAGACATTTCCAATTGATTGTGGCAGTAACCCCAATAAATCAAGTTACCAACCCAAATGTTACTATACTACCCACACTTGGTTATGCGCGGGCATTGTTCTATCATACCGGGCCGGACACTTGAGTTGCGGTACAACCATGCAAAATTAATTGGAAATTTCCATACCATGTTACAAATTGGGGTTATACCACAATTGTAGGGGATACCCCTTAACACTTTTTTCCGTGGGTGGATCGAGGTTATGAGGACGGGGGTATAAGAGTCCTATTTTAACTTTACGCATTTTATTCGCGACTCCCTCCCCTTAAAACAAACAAAAAAAAAAGATACACGGCGAAAATTTCTCAACCCAGATTTTCCACGATTGCACCACGGAGGCAACCCCCAAAGTAGAAAACGAAGAATGAAAAATCGGTCTCGAATTGCGATGCAACTTGCTATGAAATATCGATCGAACCTGAACCCGAGCGCGGCTCTCCTCCGAGCTCCCACGGTTGATCTTTGACTCCGCGCAGTGGCGTGGCGTGCTTTGCGATATATCGATCGATCCGCCATTTAAACCTATGGAAAAGTATCGATAAACAGGGTGCTCGCAACGAACACCTTAACAATCGATTCTTTACCATAGGTTTAAATGGGGAAATATCGATAATCGATCACTCACGCCTCGCCGCTGACTCCGAGAGAGAGGCGTGAAAGCATAAATCTAAATTAACGTTCACCGTTCAACAGTTGTTTTTCCTCCTCCTTTTTTTCGCGCGCATTTATCTTCCCCCGCGCGGCCTAGATTTCTTCCCTCCGCCTAGACCACGCAACACAATGGGACTGCCCGGCAAGAGGCCATACCTTCGAATTTTCGGCTCTTCGGGAATTTCGCTGTCGAAAGTATAGAATCACGCGATAGTTAAGTTAGACACGACTTCATGATGCTCTATCAGTCGAAAACTGGTGACGTCATTCACATACCATGAACTATGAACTGTTGCAATATTATGCAATTAGGAGCTACTATTTGTACGTATTTCTGCTAAACGGAGCCGGAGGCAGGTGGGAGAGAAGGGGTGTGCTCGTTTGTGGAGGACCATTAGAATGAACGGGAATTATAAAGCGCCAGTGACGTCAGCGGCGACGAAGCCGTCTCCGTTGTCGCTCTTGGTTGGCATAACTCATGAGCCCTATACACAATGCTCTTGTATAATGCTCACGGTTCATGAGTGCCCCATTTAGTTGGCACATAGTTCCGTTTGACAGAATGCAAAATCCTGCTTTTCCATTTCTCCAAAGGGAATCACGCCCACTGACTACATTTGGACGTATTTCTGCAAAACGGAACTATGTGAATTAAGACGTGAGCCCTGTTATGCATATGAATGAGTGAGAACGAAAATACACCAACTCGAGAAATGAAAATAATCAAGACACACACAAAACTGCACAGTACCTAAGTGAAGGAGTTAGTCAAAGGAAAAGATTTTTGGTGCCGGAACACAAGTATTCAAGGACATTTTAAAGGTCCAAATTGGAACAGATACGCTAACATCGATGACCTTCATGAAAACTGACTGTCTTTAATAAAACTTAATTATTTTCGAGATACCGAGTTGGTGTGTTTTCGTTCTCACTGATTCATTTATTCTCATGGGTCTCACGGCTCATGTCTTAATGCACATAGTTCCGTTTGGCAAAAATACGTCCATTTTTCCTATGCAGCTTCGTAGAGCAAACCCTATCTTTCCCACTTGTCTATAGTTTGGCAGAAATACGTCCATTTATGACTTATTTTTATGAACAACATATCGACGGTGAAACTACCAAACCACGTATCTCGGTTTGCGACGTCGCAGACTTCCTGTCATACTTTATTTTTTAAATGAAAAACTACTTAACATCTAGTCTTGAAAATTTATGTGATTTTTCCTCTTTGTGCGGAGAAAATTCCGTGAAAATTTCAAGGAATGATATTGATTTGGTCTACTTCAAAAAAATAAAATGTGAGCGTAGATTTTTAAACACAGCAAACGAGATACGTGGTTTGGTAGTTTCACCGTCGATATGTTCTTTAAGTCTCCTCATGTAGCTAAGTGTTTTTCTGGATGAGCTAGAAATGGTACTTCCTTGTTGCAAAATGTAGTCCAAATGATGCAACACATTCTCTTATCATACGCAGGAAAATTGAAAGTCTTCTAGCTTCCTTAACCTATGAATACAACTATTCGTGCTCAGTGGATGCCCGTGTTGCATACACATGAAATTGCAGGCGCTTTGGATTTCTTAGTCGTAACGCTGGACTGAAACTACTCAAGCCCAAGGGATTTTTATGTCGATTCTATAATCGCGTTGACTATAAGAAACCTTATACATTTTCACCCATAAGAAAACTTCAGCATTGCTAAATAGTGCGATTTGCGGAAAAACACCACCAATGATTTGCTCAACTCCTATCCGACATTGCTTCGCGGACACGTTTCCAAAGGGAAACGTTTTGCGGTTGGAAATTCACGGATAACCATAGGCTTATTCAATCCTTGAGAATGTTGTAAGTATTTAGAGTCCCTTTATAGAGAGAGTTGAGGCAACGCGGCTTGTAGGTATCACAAACGGGAATAATGATTACACAAATCGGACGTTTGCTGTAATCTTTGATCAACTCATTCCCGAATTTCTGTCTCCGTTACCACTCTCATTTCATTTGTTCCTGGCCGTACCTCCTATTCCCCGGTCCATTCCAGTTTATAATCTTTGCAATTGGTGAAACTGTAATCTTCGTTCCCGTTTGTGACATTATGGAGGCCTAAGGTAGGCATGGGAACCAACGAACCAATTGTTCGAATTATCCCAATAAAAGATTAGTTTGAGTTTGACGATCATCTTATTATCATAATAGTTACCACACTAAACGCTGTGCATATTAATATTATTAGTACTGTCATTTTTATAAAATTAAATGAGTAGCTAAATGGAGCTAAATGAGTAATCCAATGGTACAAAAATAACATGGGATAATTCTAAGATAAACATTGTTAAACTCAATTTATGTTTTAAATTTAACACACATCGATTATACTCACCATTTATATAAATATCAAAATATTAAAATATAAAAATGATAATACAGATTGATGATAGAGATGATAATTGATGGATTCGGATTGTTTTTACTCTCAGTATAAAGGGACTCTGGTTGTATTTAGCGGTCATAAGATGACAGTGCGTTAGCGGCACGGTGGGTCGAAAACTGAATTTTTGGGCCTCGAATATTCAATAAGGAATGAGGTAAAGTGTTTGTAAACCACTGTGCGGAGTTAGAAAGTTCTCGCGCGCGAGCATCCATTTACGTCGCCAAAAACTCCTCTCTCAACGGAGCTCTATTGTAAAGCATCTACATGGGGTCAATGTTCTGATCAACTGAGAGAACTATCTTCGTGTTCTTTGAATAAGCTCAACTCATGACCAGTTTGGGTTTCTAAGTATATGTCGAAGTCACTTAGTCAAATCAGGCATTTTATCAAATGCCTCGGCCGGTAGGCAAATTTTGATAGTTCACGGAATTTTGTAAAGTTATGGCGACGAATCCATGGGTTTTCAATATTTCGGGAAGAATAACTCTTCAAAACCGCGGACTGTTTTTTTCTAAAATTAGGAAAATAATCAAAATTTCAATTAATGTAAGCAA